TCAATGGCTATGTTTCACAGCCATTCAGTAGAACAGAGTGGACTGCTGTGCAGTACACGCGACCCTCAATAGACAATCGGATATCACGGCGGCACCACAGATAGCGTAAATTCGCAAAAGCCAACTGAACTTTTTGTATTTGTGCAGAGATTTCGTCGGCCACTGAGCCACCAACGTAAGGCTGATCCTACTTCCCAGGTAAGTGAAGTGGTCGTCACACTCAACCACTTCACTCTCTATTGTTAGCCGTGGCACCGTTGAACATCAATGCTGGAACAACACTTTACATTTGGGTGGTGAAAAACACATCTCAAACATTCCCAAATTGCCACTCCATGTGCCCAGAAGATTCTGCATCTTGTCAGCGTCTTCACCTTACACAACTATGTCATCTGTGTATTCTACGTCTAACGAAAATTCTTCTGCAATTTGGTCAACCTCTGTGCAGTCATGTGACGAGATGGAAACCTCCATAAGAATATCTATGATAAAATTGATGTACACCACTCGATGAGCATAGTTCCCTGGACATCTCACCATAGGCTCTAAGATGCCCACAAGTGTTCGAGTAGAAAGCCTTCAATAAGGTTATGTAGTTACTCACCACGCCTCTCAGTGAGAGACATTGCCATGAGACTTCTCGATCAACGGAGTCGAATGCCGCCTTCAGGTCAAGAAATACACTTATTGCTGGACGTCGGTTAGTGTGTGTGTGTGTTCCAAAACCTGGCGTAGTGTGAGTATTTGGTCGGTACACTCGCGCCAGTGTCTAAAGCCTGACTGGTCTTCACGGGATTCCTGTTCCAGAGCTCCACTCAGACGTCAAAGAATTATAGGACCTAGGATCTTGGACGCTATGTTTGTCAGGCTGATTCCTCTGTAGTTATCACAAGAGGACGTCTCGCCTTTCTTGAAGACTGGGATAATCAGTGATTCAGACCAGTCAGAGGGAATCGTATTTCATTCCCATATACTGGTTAACACTTTCGTCAACCTGACTAAGAGCATTTTACCACCATCTTTGTATACCTCAGGAGTTAGTCCGTCTGGTCCTGCTGCCCTTCATCGTTTCAAGTTACCTACAGGCTTCTTGACTTCTAGTTTTCGGGGGGCCTATTTCACTGTTCCATTCAGGGTCCAACTGGATAGCGGGCAACGCAATGGTGGCTGGAGGCCAGTTAAACTGTTCCTCGAAGTGTTCTGCCCATCGTCCCAGTCGTCTCCTCTGCGAGTGAATCGCAGATCCGTCCTTCTCCACCACAGCCTGACTGACTGTTGTTGACCTTCCCCCCCCCAGTCTCCTTAATAAGTCTAAATAATTGTCTACTGTTACCAATCGCCGCTGCCTTTTCCATCTCTTTAGCTTTCGCTGCTCACCACTGTTCGCAGTCGTTGCGTAGATTTTCTCTGTCTACTTTTCAGTTGTGCTCGCTTTTCATTGTATTCATAGCCTGCAGGGATGCGATCACGTATATCCATTAGTTCGGAAGAAGCTGCTGATATCCACTGGCTCTTTTTAGCCACTATTTCGTAGTCGGGTACGGTCTTCAACGCTGCTTTTACAGCAGACTGAAGATGGCACCAAGCTTCTTCTGAATGAGTACTAATCTTTTGTCCCGATAACTGCCTAGCCAACTTCTCACTGAACACGGCTTTGGTGTTTTCGTTGTCCAGCAGCACTGGTAATGGTTTTGTTGCCAAATTTTTCTTACGTGCATTGAGACGCAGGCATATACGTGCTCGGACCAGCGCATGGTCGCTATCTAAGCATGTACTCCAGAAGGAGCTGCAGTCTTCTACCGATCCTCTCCAGCGGTGACCAATAGCGATGTGGTCTATCTCTGTCCATCGCTGAGTTGAGTTTGGTGGACGCCAGGTCAGACAGTGTCTTTCTTCATGTCTGAAATTGGTGCTGGCTAAAAATAGACGGTTATCTGAGCATAGTTGTAATGGGCGATCACCGTTATCTGTACTTTCAGCTGGGATTCCGAAAGTTCCACTTAAGTGCCTTTCTGCCTCACTCAGTCTACCCACCTGTGCGTTGGGGTCACCTGCAACAACCACTACGTCCGAACGTTTGGCTTTCAAGAGGAGGCTAGAGAGTTTACAGTAGAACTCGTCCTTCACTTCATCCGAGCTGCAGTCAGTGGGTGTGTAAGCAGAGATTACAAAGAGACAACGGAGAGTTTCACCATTCGTTTTAGTTCTCACTGTGCCATTCGGTTGGATAGTGTAGTGGCGACTATCAACTGTGATCCAGTCCTGTAGTGAGTTTTCTGCCCTAGTGCTTAGTGCTATACCTACACCTGGAAGACTGCGAGAGCTAGCTATCGAATCTGCAGAAACTTGAAGGGTGTATTTTGCGGACTCACCAAATTGGCCGGGAGATGATAGGTGAATAACCACACTTGGGTCCTGTATGCGTGTCTCACAAACACAGCACACATCCATGGCCCGAGTTGCTAGAGTCTTTTCCAACAAAGTCTGTTGACCAATCTGACGGAGGGTGCGAGCATTGAAGGCTCCAATATGTAATTTGAAGCGTGGTTTAATAAGACCAGGATGCTGTTTTGTGGACTCAGATCGTTGTCGAAGGCTGCAGAGGTAGAAGAAATTAAAGATGATTCAGCATCTTTAATTGAGAGACGTGAAGGAAGATTAGAAGGTAATGATGGGGGAGGTGGATAGCCGTCAGAAGAAACTTGAGTGCTGAGTTGTGAAGGCTGTTGACACTTCTCGGCTGCCCACACTGTGGAAGGCTATTTCTTCTTAAGGTACCTGAAAGAGATTTGTGTGACCGCAGAGCCCATCGGACATCTGCTTGAAGCCTGTCACGCCCAGCCTTTTGAGTATGATTATTTTGAACTTTTGTATTTTTGGGGCCGGATGGTCGAAAGGAAACGACAAGTGAACCAACTCCTTCAGCCCGGTAGACCGTGGGGCATAGTTGGGTGTGTTAGTTTTGTGGCCGACCTTTTCTAACTCCCCCTTCCACTGAGAAGGCAGCATCAGCATGGCACTGCTGGTCATTCTTACTGCTGTCACACCCCATCCAGCTAGCAGCAGTACGACTTCGCCCTCAAACCCCCATCATAGTGTAGTAATTTACACCACAACGGTAACTGCTTTTCGTCTAACCACTATCCAACAGACCTTTCTGGTGTGGTAGGACCTCGAGGGAACCGCGTTTTATCGTTATCTTCAGACATGACCTATTAGTGAATGTTTTAACAATGTGGGCTTAGTATTTCGGTTCAAACCACGTATCAAATAAAGCAACTGAACTTAGCTAACTGTCATGTGTCCCACACCATATGTTCATTTTATGTATTACGAGGTATTTGTGCAAATGTAGTCACTTATTTTGTCTAGTGAATGCGTTCTTGAGTCTTCGTTTTTCAAATGACCTAATGCTCTGTTTTTGTGTACTGGCAAGTGTAGAAACGCAAGTGATGTAGCTCACTGTCTAACCACTTGACTTTAACCGATGGATCACGTGTTCAAACCACGCTCCACCTTATGACCTTTAGGCAGCCAAGTAGTATCATCAACCTTCATACAATCGGTGTGGCTCATTGCCTACTGCACGAACGTGCTTGTGGTTGATGAGTGCATTTCGATTTTTCCTTGTATAAATGCAACTAAATGAAAAAATCCAAAGTGAAACTTCTGACTCAAACGAAGTCAATAGATGCCTTTACATTCTTTCAAATAATTTATTAACAACGATAAAAAGCTAAAACACGCACACTGGTTATATATATCAAGAACTGTTTATCGCTTCCGGTAGCTGAAATTCGTATAACAGTTGGACCAACTAGATTGTATTTTACAGAATCTGGACTCAGCATAGTGATAATCTTAGACTTCATTTTGTCAGTCAGTATTTGTATTCCGTGTTATGAAGTGGGACTTTATTTGCTTTCGTGGCTTTCACTATCGACCAAACGTTAAGTATAGATAGTTAGTACTAATACTGATCAGGGCTAAAAGGTTGACAAAGAAGCAGTTTACCACCAGTTCTTTAAGTTTTGGTCTTTGATTATACTACGATCTGCTGTTGTATGGTTGGAAAAATCACCTACTTTTGAATCCTGTCTGTGAATAGTTCAATGAGTATCAAGGCTTATTTAAAGAAGGACTGATTGTTTACTTTCGGTTTACATCAGCGATGGTTCCCCAGCTATTGTTCAGGATAATTCCATACGGATGGTTGTTTCATATTTTGTGGGTTTTCAGATAGGCGAATGAAAGCTGTGGCTCAATAGCTACTCAGGCAGTTTTTAAGCAGTGGGTCACGTGTTTGAACACTGCATCACCTACTGAGGTTTGAGCAGTTAGATGGTATCATTAACTTTCAAAATAGGCGTGATTCATTGTTAAGTCTGCGGACCTTCACATGGTTGCTGAGTTGCATAACATTTAGGCAAACGCAAAAATTTATTGATTCAGGTTGCCACACTTTACAACAACAAAACGATTAACAGAAATGAAAATGTATTGTATTCAACGAAATAAGTAAAAGGGGGCAATAAGCATAGGAATTATTTTCCTAAACAAGTTTGTATCACACTTGAGTTTGAAATGGTAGAATTACTGTATTTCAAGCACGCTAAAATTTATTCAAGTATGAACTGTATCTAGTACCAACCATTCATTTGGCACCTAACGTTTAAGATTTCTGATAAAATTTGTTAACTGTTCTCGTAGTGTTAATATTTGAACAAATTAAACTCATTGTCTCACCGAAGGAACATCAGTTTCCTCATGGTTGCTGGTACATCCTGTTGATTAGTGCCAATTAGCATGAAACCTAAGTCTAGTGTTTTCTGCCAATTAACTCTCGACATCTAATAGGAATATATATATATATATATATATATATATATATATATATATATATAGCACGCATGTTTGTAGGATATTATCTCATTAGAAATAAAGTTATATCCATTATGTTACATCTTTTAACTAAGGTATTCTCATTGTTCTGAATACAGATAAATCTCCATTTATGGTGTTGGAATCACTTGGTATAGTACACTCGCTCTAAAATGTACACTTTGGAGAGACGTGATGCGTCATTCGTCACACCTACACATCCAGTAGTTACTTCAAATTCGAATAACTCTCAGGATGTATGTGTAAATCGACAAAATGGTTCGCATTCAGTTCATAATACATTGAATAGTCGCCTACCAAGTTTCCAATCTTTTACCAATTTCCATAACAGGAGATCATCTAGAAACAGGTCTTCAAGTTCCACGTACAGGTCAAAGATTCTGAAACGTTGCGGTCGACAATTGAAACGATTAATTGGGTAAATTTATTCTTATTTTCCCCTTCATTATTGCAGTTGATAAAAATAATAGTAACAATAATACAGTAATGTAATTCAGTGATCTAAGTACTTTTTATGCATCAGCTTTTAAAGCCAGGTTGACGGATGTAGCTGGTTGTTGGGATCTCGGTAAATGAGACAAGATCCGAACTCATGACCTACTTTCTGGATTACATCATACATCATGGCCTTTTCCTATTAAGTATATGTAATATTTTCTTTATATGAATTTCAGCATTTTGAAAGCAGTGTTTCCCTGATAATCTAGCCTAATCTTCTCCAGGAAAAACGTTTTTTTCCATTTCTAAAACCTTTTATTTGGCTCTTGTGTAAAACTACCAATAAAGAATTGTTAGTTTACGAGTGTAAGCGTAATAGCGATTTTCACAGCGTATCTGTTTACTAAGTATTAGTGAACTGTTGTAACCACTGACTCACCAACAAATCTTCATGTAAAAACGAGAAGGCATTCAGCAATTAAACGATTAAAAATAATGGCATTCAGTACACTAATGGGAACAATAACAGCATGAAATTATTGTATTGCAATGAAAGTCGATCATTGCATTTCATATTAGTAATTTGGAAAACTGATGAGTCTTGCACAGTTGTTATAACTCATTAGCTTTCTTAATAACGGTCAAAACTAAGATAAATTGACGAGTTTAGAAATGTGTCATCACAACTTAGCACAGAACAGCTTTTTATATGTCTTGATTTCCGAAATAGATAGATTCGTCAGTTTTTTGTGGGAACCAGCATTAATTTACTTATCTGGCTTTTAACCAATGGTTCACGGGTTCATACCTGTCCCACCTTCTTCAGTCTGGGCAATGGTTTTGTATCGTAAACCTTCATACAATGCGTCATAATGTATTGTATGGCACCTGCATTGTGTAGCTTAGTTGCACTAAGCTGCTTCTAAAAAAGCCATTGTTCCAACTTGGATAGTTATTTATTTTCTCATCTGTTTAACCTAAAAAGTGAAAGTATCTCACCAATGATGCTGTTTTGGTGTATTTAGTCACTAAACATTTGCTTTGTAAGGATTAGTGGAACTATCTCAATTTCATGAGAAAGAAATTACCAAGTCCACTGGCTGTCTATAAATATACCAATGTAAATGGGTACTACGACTGTTTCAACAAGGTACCTTCCCAACCGTCTCATCAAGATAGTAGAGATCTGTTTACACATAGATTTAAAAATGACTTGACAGAAAAAACTTATGTAAGATTCTTTGAAAGACCTACACAATTTCACTTATGTGTTGTGTTATTATTCCGTAGCTTCAAACCTATTTCTAGTAGTTGACTAACCGAAAATACTAGTCATAGTTTTCACAGAAATAAATCAATGAAAGAATTATTCGAAACTAAAAAGTATTGAACTGACAACCACCGTAAGTGACTTTTACTGATGACTTTTCGAAGCTAAGTCCATAACATTCGGTTTTTATGTTAAATGTGGTGTTGACCAACGTCTCTTAATGTAGAACAATGTCATCGGTTTGTATTTGCCCCCACTTTCGATCGAAGGCATTATGCAGATCATGGCATTATTATTACTATTATTACTTTGAGAACACATCAAAGATACTGTGAGATGCGCCATACAAAATAATAATGCAGCAATACAAAGACACATGAAAGGAGCGAGAGGATGGAAACGAAAATATGTGAGTTATTGAAAAAGCACTCCCCAAGATACCTTTGAGGAGGCATTAGTAATAGAAGAAACAAGAAAACTCCACCGTACTCACCACTAGTTTTGATTTTGAGTCATGTCTTTTGTTGTCTCAAACCACTGAGTTGCACGATTTCGTAGACCTCATCCGGGGAGTTGTCAGACGCCCAACCTAACACAACTATTCTTCATCCCGCGTGGTTACGTCATATACTGGCCACCTCTCCTCTTCTTCGAACCACTTTCAAAGCATGTGAAGAGTAAGGAATATGGAAGCCTCTAGGAAGTCATGTTAATACACATCTAAGCTACCAAAGCTGATGTTTCAAAATTACTTCACTCAATGAACAGCGATTCCCATCGAACCCGAGCACACGTTGCCTCACTTCAGACTTAATTACATGGTTTTTCCACCGGATACGAGTAATCCTATAGAGACAACGGTCAGAGTCGTCGGATATCTTCAGCTCGGAGAGACCAAGTATCATGAATGTACAGCAGAGCTGTCCTCACCTACACGTTGTATACCTGACCTTTTACAGCATGGTTAACATCACGACGATGCCAAAGGTGTCCCAGGTTGAGGTATCCCATTAGGGTTTTCGATAAGCGGTTAAAAGTTTCACCAGTACTCATACAACTACCCCAGGTACATAAACCTTTCGACTTCCAGAAAGTCATCACCGAAGGTGAGTGCAGGTACATATTGCCACCAATCTTTTAGAAGCACTTAGCTGGTACAAAGCACATACCATACTTAAACACACTGATCGTCAACTGATTGAGTGCCATTCAATTAGCCTGTATGTTATCGCACAAAAAGTGATATCGTCTGCTCACTCGGGGTTGAAAAGTCTTTCATCTGATAACACCACCACTAAGCACTTCCTTCAGGATCATCTCTAGAATGTTGTCGGTCGCAAAGTTTAATGAGCTATGGCGAAACCAAGCAGCACTATCTGACCCAATTATTGTTGTAAAACAATGGAAACAGGTGATTATAGGGCTTCACTCTACCTAGGTTGTTGAAGTACAGGGTTTCCAAGATTTTAACGAAATTCTATGAGACTCCTCTTTCTAATAGCTCTAGAGTGCAGTCATGTCCAACAAACTGAAAGCAGCTCTACTATCGACAAACAGATTTTCAATCTGCAATAAGTGTGTTGGTGTTAGAACATTTGGTGGTGAACACGTAATCAATGCATTCACGACCTGAACACAAGCCAGTCTGTTCTCCGCGGATCCGATTTTCACCCGTCTTCTACAGTCTGAGAACCATGTTAGTCGTCAACACTTTAGACTCTAACAGTAGTCGACTGATGCTAGAATGGTTATCATACGTGCTATGTGGATCTTTTTCTAAAGACAGGTACAACAATGATTTCATTCCAGATTCAAGTTGTCACGCCCTCCCAAACAATTTAGTCAGTTTCCTGACTACAATCTCTCATCCTTGAAAATAGCCGGGAGTGGTTTGTCTGAGATGAGCGCCCTATTCAACCTCAGTAATTAGATTTCCTTGTCGACCTTCACACTTGATGTTAACTGACCATATGGTAAAAAAAATATTGAGATTACTGGAGCAGTAGGCCAGTTGAATCACTTTCTGATGTGTTCCGTTTATCATTCCAGACATCCATGAAATTCGGTAAACCACACCATTCATGGCCCATTTTACTGATATCAGGCTTCTTACTGTCAGTGGGTCGGATGAGCTATTCTGTGCTTATGCCAGCGAGTCGATGAGAGCTAGCCATTAGGTCTCTGGTTACTCGTAAGGTGGATTTTGATGATTCATAATTGTCTATGTGAAGTCAACTCAATAAACCACAATCAGGTCCTGTATGCATGTCTCAGAGACACAATATGCATCTATGACTCGAAATTCTAGAATCTTGACTACCAATCCCTATTGTCCGATTTGTCATCGAGTTCTAATGTTGAAAACTCCCACATGAAATGGATGGTGGGGTGAGGGCGAAGGAGGAGATAGAGTTGAGGGGAATATGTTATGCTTGGTTGGTGTACTACCGTGGGAAACTGTTTCTTATTGAAGTACCTGAAAAACCAAAGGGAAAAGATTTGTGTGACCACAGAGCCCATGGGACAACTGCTTGAGGCCTGTCACGCATGGCCTTTTGTGTGTTATTGTTTTGAGGTTCGATTGTTCTAACCCTAGATAGAGAGGACTGAAATCACCTGCACGGTAGACCGTGGGTACATAATGGAATGTGTAGTTTTTGGGACCGAACTTTTCTACCCCGCCGCCTTTCTCATTGGGAAGGCAGCATCAGCGTGGGACTGCTGTAACACCCCATCCACCTAGCAGCAATACGGCTTCGCCCTCAGACTCCCATCATAGTATAGTAATTTACACCACAATGGCAACTGCCTTTCGTCTTACCACTATCCGACAGACCTTTCCGGTATGGTAGGGCCTTAAGAGAACAAGCGTTTCATCAGCATAGCTCGTTGGGTCATTGTGATATGCAAGTCTGACCACCACGTCGAGGTAGTAGCTATCAGTCTGGAAAGGAAATTTGGCTCCCAGTTACGACCGATTTGCTTGAAAGTTGACCTAATGAGTTACAGATTCACATCAGAAAATCAGACCAATTTGTGCCTAGAGTGAATAATTTCCCAGGTTAAGGTACTCAAGACAACTGAAACCTGTGGTTAAAGACTGTACATATATAACTTGCTCATCTCCCTCATTGATTGGACCGAAGGGATGAGTAGGTACGTCCGGCTGATGACCCCCAAATTCGACGAAACGTGTGTCCTGGATTCCATTTGCTGGCTATTATCCATCAGCAATACGGGTCAGAATTACTTATCGCGGTGACACAGATGCTTCTTCATCTTAGTCTCTACTTCAAATTTCGTTGTTTGCTTTATTCGTCTCTTGACTTTCTCCAGTTTTTGATTATGTCATATCTATTCCTTTTCCTTTCATCTTGTTACTCTGTATATTGATGTACTGACATAAAGCATGACAAATTGAAGTGTTACACAGTAATACTAGGTCGCATGTTCATACCGACTGATGCAGAGAACAATATTAATGCATTACTCGTTGTTATAGTTTCTTTTCCGACATGTCAGACAGCTTGAATTATATGTTTGGAGTTAATTCAAAGTAAATCTGGTAATGTGCTTCAGTTGTTAAGCCGATTATAAGGAGATATTTAGGTTTTATAAATAATAGAAGACTGAGTAACTAAATAAACACTGTACATATTGATACGTTGTCATTTTGACTACCTGAGATAACCGTAGTTTGGCAGACTAGT